TCACACACACACTCACTCACACTCACACTCACACACTCACACACACACTCACTCACACACACTCACACCCACACACACTCACACACACACTCACACAAACACACTCACACACACTCACACACACTCACACTCACACTCACACACACACACACACACACACAGATGTTTGCTCTATAACAGCAACACATATCAGAACTTAAAAAAAAAGGTTACTTAGTAATATAATCGACTGGTTGGCCCGCATTCGAATTTTCCCATTATTCTCACAATATGCCTGGTTGTCAAACCGATTTAATAAAGAACCAGGTTCCACGTCTGTCAGGCGAGTGGATCCCGAACCCGACCCATCCTCGGCTCCCGCCTGGAGCAGAACTTCCCGCCGGGAGCAGAACTTCCCGCCTCAGTACCGTAAGGTCTCGTGGGAAACGCAGTCTCGGCTTCCAATGACGTCACCAGCACACGACGGTGGGAAGGGCCTTTTGGATTCCTTTGCGCATGCGCCGCCCCGCCCACTTCCGCCATCTTCAGCCTGAGAATCCCGCTGTTGCTGGCGTTGAGAGGCTGCTGTGGAGGCTCTGGGGTGGGTGTGTTCGTCCCTGCTGGTTGGTGGTAGGATGAAACAGGAACCCGCGGGCTTGGGGGCGCCCTAGGGAGACGGGACGGACGTGCCACAGTTGATGGGAGCAGAGGCGTGGGCGCATCCCGGGGTGGGCGGGACCCGACGTACCCGTGAGTGCAGCGGCCCCGGGCGGGGGCTGGAAGGGCGGCGCTGTTGGGAGGGCGGGCGTGGGGTCCCGGCTCTGAAGCCAGTTCCGGAGCCCCGGAGAGGGGGGCTGAGGCCGGTGGCGCGGGGACGGGGTCTGCAGGCCGCTGGAGCCTGGAAGGTCTGCGCGGGGCCGCGCTCCGGCGCTGCGTGCACCGTGTCCGTGCGCCCCCCGAAAGGTCGCACACGGACAGTTTTAGGGAGATGCCCCTGGTTCCGACAGCAGCGCGCGCACAGCGTCTGTACGACTTGGCGGTTGTGTTAGTGGGGTTTCCCAGTGTCTCTTCAGCAAGTGAAGATTCTGCCGTGTCACCTTCCTACCCGCCCGTTCCCACTTTAGTTTATAGGAGTTTATACAAGATTTGGTTTCTAGGGAAGATGGGGTCTCAGATGATGGTCCTGTTTTCTTTGTAATAAAGTAGGTGTTACAAAGTTTGGACCAGGGCACCTTTTAGGAATCCCATCTAAACACCCTTCTGGACTCTCTCTCTCTCTCACTGGTACCTCAAAGCAGAGGAAGTGTTAAGGTGAAGAGCCCAGCTTGTGTGACCCAAGCCATTATTTTCCCACTCCTCAGAGTGCTCAAGGTTTGGTTGATAATACCTTATCCAGTAGCTCTCAAAGACTGGGTGGTAGCAGAAGGTTTGGACCAACATTCAGAAGGAAGAGGCGAATTTGGCTGAGAATGACAGGCAAGGGCCAAGGAGATGTTCCTTATTGGAGGGGACTTAACAGTGGTCTTAGGTGGAAAAATAACCTGTTATACCTGAGAGGATCTGTTTGGAGTACTCTGTAAAGACACTTACATTCCTTCAGCCTTTTCTCAGTGTTTCCAGTGTCTGAGCTTTCTTCAAAGTAGTCTAGGCTGAGTGTGGTGGTTCACGCCTGTAATTCCACGACTTTGGGAGGCCGAGGTGGGGGTAATCACCTGAATTCAAGAGTTCGAGACCAGCCTGGCCAACATAGTAAAAACCCCATCTCTACTAAAAATACAAAAATTAGCTGAGTGTGGTGCGCACCTGTAATCTCAGCTACTTGGGAGGCTGAGGCAGGAGAATCACTTGAACCCGGGAAGCGGAGGTTGCAGTGAGCCAAGGTCTCGCCACTTCACTCCAGCCTGGGCGACAGAGTGAGANCTGAGGTCAGCAGTTCAAGACCAGCCTGGCCAACATATGGTGAAACCCTGTCTCTACTAAAAAATTAAAAAATTAGCTGGGTGTGGTGGTGCACACCTGTAGTCCTAGCTACTTGGTAAACAGGCAAGAGAATCGCTTGCACCCAGGAAGCGGAGGTTGCAGTGAGCCGAAATTGTGCCAGTCTACTCCAGCCTGGACAACAGAGTGAGACTTCGAGTCTTAAAAAAAAAAAAAGGTCTACCACCAAATTTAGCATCTAGTGATATGCCGAAGCTCCCTCTATCCTCATCCAGGTAGTTCAGTAAGGGTTTGCCACAGTATTTCTACCTTATGAGAAAGATGAAAAAAATTTGGCTTTGAGGAGCTGTGACATACCAGGGTCACATGATATATAGATATTATGCATCCTGACTTTTTGGCTGGTGTTACTCATTCTGCCTCAAGTCAAAACTGTTTCCTTTTGAAATTTTTGTTGACACTTAAGCTAAGAACAAACATTGCTTTAAAGTACTTTCCCAGCCCCTCCTCGCCTGCCCACCCCTCCCTCCACAAAAAAATTAAAGTACTTTCCCTTGCCATTGGGAGGCCAAGGCAGGAGGATTGCTTGAGCCCAGAAGTTTGACAATAGCCCGGGCCATACAGGAAGACCCTATGTATTAAGAAAAAAAAAATTAAACATTTAGCTGGTTGTGGTGGTATGCACTTGTGGCCCCAACTGCACTTGAGCCCAGGGGGCAAAGCTATAGTGAGCTGTGGTTGTGCCATTGCATTCCAGCCTGGGTGACAAAGTGAGACTCTGTCTCAAAACCAACCAGCCAACAAGAAACATTTCCTTAACCATCACTATTCTTTTTATCCCCAACTCTTTTTGTGAATTATGTGATCTCAAGGGTAGATAACACAAGTGTTTCCTACTTAGTGTCGGTAATCTGAAATTATAAATTCTGTAGGAAAACAATAGCATATTTTATGTATTTAAAAGCTGTGTCCCACTTCTACTCCAAACCAATACCTTAAAATGCAAGTAGAATACAGCACAATGCTCACTTGTAAGAGATCCTTTTTGTGTATTTTGTGTTTTAAAGTCAACAGATTTTTTTTTTTTATCATGTAAAGAACCTCAAAACACAGTTTACTGATATGCAAACAGTTGCTTTTTATGATTCACACCATCTCCTGGCACCAACGGTCTCACCGATTTCCATGAAGTTGGCATTTATTGTGATTTGCAAAGCTTCTACATGAGGTTGTGATGTTCTAATGATAGTATTTGACAAGTAATTTCACATTAGCTCCTTCACATGGTTGTCTTAAAAATATTGCATTCTGTGGGAGGCAGAGGTTGCAGTGAGCCAAGACTGCGCCACTGCACTCCAGCTGGCGCCTGTCAACAGAGCAAGACTCTGTCTCAAATACAATAAAAAAAATAAATGGGAAAAAAAAAAAAAAAAAAAAAAAAAAAAAAAAAAAAAAAAAAAAAAAAAAAAAAAAAAAAAAAAAAAAAAAAAAAAAAAAAAAAATTGCGTTCTGGTGGCTTAGGTTTATCAGTGTTCTCTGTGAAAAGAACCAACCAAAACTCACTGGCTTAAAAAGAAACAACTGTTTTATTTGATTGAGGTTCTACTGATTCACATTTTGGCATGTGTTCACGTGGGCATTTCCTATGCTAATGTTGTCTGGATCATAAATGAAGCTTTAGTCATCTGGTGCCTTTACTCACATGTCTGGTGGTTCATGCTGACCCTTGTCTAAGAAGGGAAGTACCAGTAGGCAAGTACTTTTCCAACCTGTATTTTCATCATATTTTCTAATGTTGCATTTGGCCAAAGCAAGTCAAATGGCAAAGCCCCATTTGTTATCAGCATACTATATGAGGTCTTAGATACAGGGAGACATATAATTAGGAAACATTACTAAAACAGTGTATCCCAAGAAATATACAATATGTACGTTTTCACCCCTATATAATTGTGGGCAAAGAATGTTGGCTTGCAAGATGCATACTTTCCATGATGCTTAGGTATATTAAAAAAAGCAAGATGTGTTCTAGTGGAAACACCTATATGAAATCAGGTAGAATCTCTTTATTAGCAGTGAAATAGTTAATGCAGCCCAAGTATATTTTATAATATTAATTTTACTGAAGACTAAATGTATCTTTCTTTGGTTTAAATTGTTAAATCGTTTCTTTGGGTAAATTAATTGTTCCTAAATCAGTAGGTAATACATGTTTTCATTAACCCAAAAATATATGTATCTCTACCAGTTAATGTACTTGTGGGTACATCTTCAGCAGGGTATTTGTTGCCCCTTATTGAGGCATGAATGACTGTCTGTCACAGGGAGGTTTTTTTTTTGTTGTTGTTTTAGTCTGTTCCAGCTATTGTGTAGAGGGTTTTGGGCAGGAAAATCTAGGACCAAGCCACACCAGTTCTCTCTTAATCCACTCCATTCGATTTTTCTCCCAGCTATGCTTCCAGAGTACTTTGTGCATTTCCAAGATCAACAATGAATAAGTCTCTGGTGAGTTACTTGTTTATATATGTCTCACTTTGTTTTACATTGCATTTTTTGCCTTTATGGAGTCCATGGATTAAAATGGAAAAATAAAAATAAGTAAAATTCAGGTTAAAGGAAATGCACATAAATAAAATAATGCTGGTGGGCTGGGTGCGGTGGCTCATGCCTGTAATTCCAGCATTTTGGGAGGCTGAAGTGGGTGGATCATGAGGTCAAGAGATCGAGACCATCCTGGCCAACATGGTGAAACCTAGTCTCTACTAAAAATACAAAAATTATCTGGCATGGTGGTGCTTGCCTGTAGTCCCATCTACTTGGGAGATGAGGCAGGAGAATCACTTGAACCCAGGAGGCAGAGGTTGCAGTGAGCTGAGATTGTGCCACTGCACTCTAGCCTGGTGACAGAGCGAGACTCCGTCTCAAAAAAATAAAATAATGATGGCGTGTAGACATATGCAGGTTAGAAGCCATTGAACTTGACTACAAATGTGTGTCTGGTCTCTCTGATGCTGCATCAAAAAGGCAGTCACATTTGTTACATGATTGGAATGGAACCTGCAAAGAGTATGTGCTGCATTCTCGTGAGACAGGCAGACTTGCTGGCACCAAAGTCTGGAACACTTAACTTCATTGGTCACAGAGATGACATAGTGGAAAGTTTTTTTACTATCAGTCTGGAAATACACACTTGTGGCATTTGGCAGTAGAAATAGTCACTTAGTACTAAAGCACAACTTCCATGATGAGGTTTTTCTGGAGTTGCAAGAACAGTGTGGTCCCAGACAGCTTTTGGAAGGCCCTGCTTGATTCATGGCTGAAACGTAGAACATCTGGAGGATTGAGTTGACCACAGGTCCTTACATAACCCCCCGATACATTTCTGTCAGTTCATCTGTACATATAGAATTTGTAGCAGATTGTTCGCTATTACATTTTCTGACAAATATTTCCACTGCTCACTTACTCTTTCATTCAATATAGTCTTAATTGATTTATTTTAATGCTCACCATTAGCATACATTATACGCAAATCCAGTGGCTATTCTCTGTTCTGCCTTACTTGAATCTTGTGGGGTACAGTAATCCCCCTTATTTACAGTTTCGCTTTCTGTGGTTTCAGTTACGTGTAGTCAACTGCAGACAGAAAATACAGTACGATATTTTGAATATCTTGAATATTTTGATATTTGATATTTTGCAAATTTTGCGTATGTTGAATATAGTAGAGTAAGATATTTTGAGAGGCCACATTCGCATAACTTTTAGTATAGTATATTGTTATAATTGTTCCATTGTATTGTTGTTAATATCATACTGTGCCTAATTTTAAATTAAACTGTCAAGGGCATGTATATATAGGAAAAAACATAGTATATGTAAGGTTTGGTGCTCTAGTTTCAGGCATCTCCTAAGGGATTTGGAATGGATCCCCCATGGATAAGAGGGTACTCCTGCATTTCACGTTACTGTTCATGATCTTCTGGAAATTCTTCTGTGTTAGTTTCTATCATGACCTCACTGACGGTGCTTGTCTTTTTTTCCTGAATTCTTCTACTTCTCCCTTACATAGCTCATCCATGTGTTCCATCCAATTCCCCATCTATCCCACTGTGCAGTTCTTTTTTTTTTTTTTTTTTTTTAAACAGTTCTGCTCTCTGTTGTGTAGCAGTTGTGTTTCTCTCCAGCTTGGACTTCTCTGGCCTTCAGACCAGGAGTCTCCAACCCCAGGCCATGGACTGGTACCAGTCCGTGGCCTGTTAGGAACTGTACTGCATAGCAGAAGGTGAGTGGCAGATGAGCAAGCATTACTGCCGGAGCTCTGCCTCCTGTCAGATGAATGGCAGCATTTGATTCTCATAGAAGCACGAACCCTATCGTGAACTATGCATGTGAGGGATCTAGGTTGCCTGCTCCTTAAGAGAGTCTGATGCCTGATGAACAGTTTCATCCCAAAACCATCCCCCCTCACACCCTGGTCTGTGGAAAAATTGTCTGCCACAAAATCTGGTGCCAAAAAGGTTGGGGATCACTACTGTAGGCCACAGGTTCAACTCTCCATTGAATGCTTCTTTGTAGCTATCCAAAAGTCACCTCAAGCTTAACAAATCTGAAATAAAAATTATATCCTTCTGTCTTCCTGTACGTATGGTATTAGATTAGAGAGTAATTAGATTCTACCTTTCAATAAGATAAATAGTAAGAATCTGTAGCAGTCTTTAATAAACCACAGTTTTTCACCTGGCCACAAATTATTTACGTTCTTCCCACATGCAAAATATGCTTAGCTTTGGAGATAAATATTCACCCATGGAACCATCAGTACAAACAATGCGATAAACAACCTTTGCCTCCACAAGTTTCTTCCTCCCTCTCCCCTGCCCCTTTTGGGCTACAACCATTTGACATAAGTTACATTCTCTCTATTGGTCCATTCTCCCATTGATATAAAGAACTACCTGAGACTAGGTAATTTATAAAGAAAAGAGGTTTCATTGGCTCATAGTTCCATAGGCTGTAGGAAGCATGGCTGTGGATACCCCAGGAAATTTAAAATCATGGTGTAAGATGAAGGGGAAGCAGCCATGCCCTATGTGTCTGCAGCAGGAGGAAGTGGGTGGTGAATGGGGAGGTGCTGTACACCTTTAAACAACCAGATCTCCTGAGAACTTACTGTCACGAGAACAGCAGGGGCAAGTCTGCCCCCATGATCCAGTCACCTCCCACCAGTTCCCTTCTCCAACCTTGAGGCTTACAGTTTGATATGAGATGTGGGCAAGTACACAAATCCAAAGCATACCATCCTCTTAACAAATTTTTGAGTATACAATACAGTATTAACTACATGCATTGGTCTGTGGATTTGATATTTAGAATTTACTCATTGCGTAACTAAAACTTACATCCTGTAACCAATACCTCCCCAATTACCCTTCCCCCTCAGACCTCATTAGCCACCATTCAGCTCTATGTTTTTATAAGTTTAACTGTTTCCTATTTTTATTTAAGTGGAGTTCCACAGACTCTACAGGAAGCATGGCTTCATTTGTGCTGGAGCAACAAAATACTTCAGACTTGGTAATTCATAACAGAAATGTATTCTTAACAGTTCTGAAGGCTGGGAAATCCGAGATCAAGGTGCTGTGATCTGGTGTCTGAGGAGAGACTTCTTCCTGCATCCTTACATGGTGGAAGGCAAAAGAGTGGCAGAGAATGAAGGCACTCCCAGTCCATTCAAGAGGGCCCTAAATTCATTCAAGAGGGAAGAGCCTTCACCTCACGATTCCCCGAGGCCTCACTTTCTAATATTATCATCTTGGTGATTAGATTTCAACATATGAATTTTAGGGGAATACATACATCCAGACTATTGCAAATGGGATTATGTACTACTTTGTTTCGGTCTGGCTCATTTCTTCACTTAGCACAATTATCTTCCAGGTATGTGCATGTTGTTGCAAATGGCAAGATGTTCTTCCTTTTTAAGACTGAGTAATATTTCGTTACATGTACAGACCACATTTTCTTTATGCATTTATTATTGAGAGTTCTTATTACAAATGGGGACGTGTTTTTAAATATTGATTTAATTTTTGTTATTAAAAACATTTTTAGATGGTTAGATTTTTTTAATAAATGTACTTTATTTGTTAAGGCAGTTTTAATTTCACAGCAGAATTAAGAAGGACATAGATTTCCCATATACCCTGTTCTGCATATATATGTAGCCTTCACCCATTTCAGTACCTCCCCCCCAACATAGTGGTACATTTGTTAAAATGAGGAGCCTACATTGAGACATCATAGTTGTCCAAAGGCCATAATTTACATTAGGGCTTACTCTTGTGGTTTTACATGCTATGAGTTTGAGCAAATGTATAAGGACATGTATCCAGCCTGATAGTACCTCATAGAATACTTCCCTTGTTGTGAGAGTCATCCCTGCTCTTCCTGTTTATTACTTATTCCCTTAACCCTGCAAACCATCTCCAGCATTTTGCAGAATGTTATAGTTGCAGTTATATAGTAGCCTTTTCAGACCAGCTTCTTCTACTTAGTAATAGGCATTTAAGGTATCCTTATCTTTTGATGACAAGATAGCCCATTTTTTTTTTTTTTTTTTTTTTTT